GAACGCTGTCCCTGAGGCCCTGAGACCAGAGGCCTAGGCGTCCTTTGCTGTGAACCTGGGCAAAACGCGGTATTTTTGCCGGCAAACTATGGAAACCTGATTTAGCTGCAAGGAAACCTCTATTTTTGCAAAGGAAACTTCGAACGGACGACATTTTTGCTGCCAAACTTCGAAACAGCAATATTTTTGCTATTAACCCACAAAAGAAACACCGCAGACATTTTTTATGTTCACCTTCGGGAACGGTTGGTTACCTCTAAAGGGCATACTCACACCAGGACTTAATGTATGTGACCACGTTTCCTAACCGTTCTGGATGCTCCTGACCGCAATCACTTCCACACACGCAGAAGTGCAACAAGTAGAAATCGGGAATGCTCTGCCTGCCCCATTGTGCCTGAACACCTGCAAGCCACGTCACATCACATTATTCCTCAACAGTCCTCTCATCGGACCTGACATTGGGCCTCGCTGCACTACTCATGAAATGTGTTTTTTCATGTGCTGCGCATCGCTGCACTCATGAATTTGGCCGTCCGAAAACACATCAAGAGCTGTCAGACGTTACTCTTGCATYCGTCAAGATCTGTCACTGCTGCACTACTCTTGCCTTGTCGTTCGTGAAAGTGCTTTTCACGAGCTGTCAGGGCACCGTCGGCCGAAGACTTGCTAGAGCGCTCTTGCACKCCTGCCTGCAAACACAGTTTTTGCAAGGGTGGTCTGATGGTTTCTTGAAAGGGTGCGGGATTTCTAGAGCGAGCCTGGGTCTGGATGGACAAACCAGGCTGCACTGCACTCCAGGATTCACAAGAGTGTGACAAGAGTGCTTCATGAGGGGGACTATCTAGAGTAAGGTCCTYGCTGCACTACTCATGACTTGTGAAAAAAATCAAGAGTGCGGCATGAGTTGTCAGAGTCCCGAAATGGCCTACAGTTCGGCCGTGGCTGCACTTATTCTASATAGTCCTGCTCATGAAGCACTCTTGAGATGCTGGCAGTTG